TGGGGTGGTAGCTGACATGGAGAGCAGTCCCAGGAGAGGATGACAGACCTGAACTCCCTCTGTGTCCAGGTTGGTGGTGACTGTCACCGCCAGCTCCAGCTAGGCATTGAGGGAAAGTTGCAGAATTCACAAGTTAAATAGCTTCCTCCTTCCCTCCCTCCTCCCCTTCCTTCTTTCTTGACTCCCTTTCTTTCTCCCTTTTCCCTCTGTTTCCCTTCCTTCTTCTTTCCTTTTCTCTACTGTGTCAATACACCTAGCCCTTCATATCTATGAGTTCTGCCTCCACGGAGTCAGTCACCGCACACTGAAAGTATTTAGGAAAAAAAAATGTGTTTATACACACCGCTCCAGACTGTTTCTTTATCCTGAGTCCTCACACCATGTGACCATGACATAGCATTTACATTGTATTAGTTTTTGGAAGTGATCTGAGACAAATTAAAGCGTGTGGAGGAGTGGTGAGTGGGTTATGTAAAAGTGCTATTCCATTTTATATAAGGGACTTGAGTGTGAATTTTAAATTAGTCCCCATAAATACCAAAGGACAGTTGTCTTTATTTCCCCAGTTCATCGGGTTCCAGGGCACTGTGGAGATGTGAGTGAGCTGGATTCTCACACAGCTGGCCTAGTACCTGTGTCTTTCCCATTCTCTTTCATCTGATTGGCTTAGGAAGGAAATGCTTTGAATTGGTGATGCAGGGCTTCCCAGACCTCACTTGTGGGCTATCACATGTCCTCTCCTGCAGCTACCCTTTTCATGGTCAGTGCACCCCCACAGGCACTGAAAGAAAATCACTCATTAGAAATCATCAAATAATAAGTTCTCCTGTGATCAAGAACACAGAACTTGCTCCAAAAGCAGTATTTACATCAGAACTATCTTTTATTAAAAACGCTTTTCCTACCTAGGTACTGTTGTCTTCTATCCCTACTCATTGGCTGTAGGCACATTTTTTTTTCTTTATTTCTTTCCTATAAGATTACAAGAAACATTTGGCTCAAGGCAAGGTTTTACAAACATTTGCTTTTGTAATTGCTCAGTGTTTAAGGAGTCCTTTCTGGATGGTGTTGCTAGCTTATTTCTAGCTGAGTAATTTTTTTTTTTTTTTTTGCCCCTTACCAACCTGTATCAGTAGATCTGTTCATAAAGGGAGAAACATTGGCCATCTACGGTAAACATCCCTGAGAGGAGTTGCTGGCGCCATGGTAGGTGACTCTGATTTCAGGTTTGCTGACCTCTATTAGTTGCCATAGTGATGAGCTGAGCTCTGCTTAATAGAGCTTTACCAAAATAAAGACGATCAATAGTTTTTGAAGGCTAGTGCTTATGTTGGTGGCTCCTAATAGGAGATATCAAAATTAAATGTAGTTATATGAATGCCTCCAGCAATAGAATTGAAGTTAGAAGATGTTAACATGTGGAAACAGGTATTTAAAAAAAAGACTTAATTCAGAAGATGAATACACTTGGCAGCTTTTTTTGAACACCCAGAATTCTTTGTGAGTATACAGAAAAATAGCGATCCTTATAGAATGGATGGGGATGTTCTTTTACAACAGCAGATTTCAAGTCACAAGGACTTGGTTAAGGAGTTCTGAAGCCAAGTTGTCAGAGAACACTTTTAGCACCCATTGAAGAACACTCCAGGCCAAGCTTTCTCCATTTACCCGTGTAACTACTAATGATTCCAGAGGAGTTTGGGAATATACAAGGTACGTGGTGGCTAGTTAAAGTTTACTGTGGAAGCAGAAGAGCCTGGCCTGTGCTTGTGAGCCTTTTACTCACTGAGAGCTGATGGCAGCTGCTGGGACTAAGAAGAAACACCTAGGAACACCCTAAGGAGGAGTCTGATGTTTTTACTTTCAAAACTAATGATTTTCAAAGGTTTCTCATATATATATATATATATATATATATATATATATATATATATATGGTATATCATGGATGAAATGCAAGTATCATTAATGCACTAAGTTCTCTGGTTTTGACAATAAAAAGGAAGACATCTGAGGGACAGCATAATTCACAAAGCCTACTGTCAGCCAGGTGTTATACCCTCAGTGGATGGTCCCTGGACCTTTCCTAGTTGGACAGAGTCAACTCTGTGTGTGGGGGGTGCAATTATCTCAAGGTACAGCATGAGAGGGAGGCAACCCACAACCATGTAGGACTTCTCTTTCTCCAGAGGTTTGGGATGATCTTATTGGTGTTTGAGAACTCACATCTCCCCAATTCTGTTGCAACAATCTGTCAAGTACATATCAAGGCTTATTAAAAACAAAAATCAAGGGCTGGAGAGATGGCTCCATGGTTAAGAGTGTGTACCTCTTTTTCAGAGGACCTGGGTTCAGATCGCATCACCCACACTGGACAGTTCACAACTGTCTGTGACTCCAGTTCAGGTGTTCCTCCACCCTTTTCTGGCCTCCATAGGCAACTGCATGCATATGGTGCACGTTTGGTGCATACAGGCACACACACATACATATAAATATACATAAATACAAGTTTTGAAACACAAAACAAGCAACAGAAATCAGCACTGCTGGAGCGAAGACATGACTATAAAATTGAAGAGGCAATCCTCAGCGAGCCAGAAGGAAGCAAACAGCATACCAGTTTCAAGGGGGTGGGGCAAGTCAACTGCTTAACTACAGAAAGTGTCTGTCATCCTGAATGTTTTATGTGTCACTGTTTTTGTAAATTTAAAAGAAAAATCTGAAGTGTGCGTGTGTGTGTGTGTGTGTGTGTGTGTGTGTGTGTGTGTGTGTGTGTGTGTGTGTGTGTGAAGGCTAGAGGTTGGTATCTGGTGTCTTCTTTGGTCAGTCTCCATTTTATATATTAAGGCAGAGTCTCTCACTGAACTCAGACGTTGGTCACTTGCCTAGTCTAGTTAGGCAGCCTACTTCAAGGAGGATCCTGTCTTTGTCCCTTAATGCTGGGGTTACCAGCCAGCAGGCCTCCATGCCCTCTTATCTTCTAGATGAGTTCTGAGCTCTGTTCCTTACACTTGGCAGTGAGGCCCATGAAGTTACCTCCACGGGTCCTAATTATATCTGTCTTATACTTGGTTTCAGTGATCACATTGATGTTTCTATGAGAGAGATCTTACTTACCAGGGATAAACTAGTCAAATGCTCTGTGACTCTGATGGTTGGCTGAGTCCTCCTTACTGAGGACCTGCTATATGTCAGACACTGTTGTAAGCACTGGGGATTCAGGTCGGAGTACCGCAGGCAGCTTCCTCCTCATCCTCAGAGAGAATCAGACAAGAGATGGATGAGCTGATGACCTGACAGCCATGTGGTGATGTTTGCCCAGAAGGGAAGCATAGCAAGGTTCCAGGAAGTGAGTGGACACTAGGAAGGAATTCTCAAAATCTTTCAAGCTTTTTTTTTAAAATTTTTTAAATTTTGAGATGATTAAATTATGTAGCTGAGACTGGCCTCGAGTTTTCAATCCTACTGTGTCTGGGAGAACAGGTTTGTTGCTCGGGGCCCAGCTCCATGAAAGTGCTTCTTGGTAGGGCTCTTAGATGAGATCGTTGCCTTACCCCAGGCTTGTGACCTGGACCTCTGGTAGGTCTCCATTTTCATCCTTCTTACTCTAGTGTCTATTGACACAGTGGCCATTCAGAATAAAAGTCTGACCATATCTCAAAACCTCACCACAGCTTCCTTGTAAAATGAAACCCCTACTCTTCTCCTTAGCCACATGAGGTTTCCCCTCAAGTCCTGGATCCCACGTCCTTGTCTCCTCCCTTGCTGTCCAGGACATGCTTCTGAGCTGACCACACAGGTGCCCACCTCTGGGTCCCTGGCTGCCATTCAGTTTTGCTCTGTTCCATTGTCTCCATCAGAGAGGCCTTCTAGGACCACTCAGTCAGGAGTGACATCTTGCTATCACCATGTCGTCTCTGCTGATTCGTCCGCGTGGCATGTGTCCCCTCTTCCACTCATGCTACGCAGCCCTCTGCTCAGCTGTCTGCATCTGTGAGAGTGCATGTGGTTGGAGGGCAGGGACTGGGCTCTTCACTCACCATTATATTTCCAGCACCGGGAATAATAGCAACACAGTCCAAGAGCCTGGTGATGATTTGTGGAATGAATGGATGGATGGATGGATGGATTTGCTGTAAGGACAGGACTGCAGAAGAACAAACAGGAAAAATGAAAGTATCAAATATTTTGAGGGTTTTTAAAAATCTCCCAAGCCAATGCTTTTTACAATCCCACCCCTGCCTCCCATTGCCATAGTAAGAGCTGCAGTCACCTCTCACTCTTTTGCTTATCTTCGCTTGCACTGTGCTCTTTGCCAATGAACTTAAATCCATACCTTTATGGTCACATATCGTAGGTGAGGAATTTTGGTGACTGCACTTGGAATTTCCAAAATACATATTTTTAATGTTAGTACTTTTAAACTATTTTCTTCAGCTTACATACAAAGTACTGAATGACCTTGACTGTGAAATTTTCACACAGATATGTCATTATGCCTTTGGCACATGCTTGTATTTCCAGGACTGGTGAGATGGGAGCTGGAGGATCAACAGTTCAAGCTCATCTGTGGCTACATAGTTTCAGGCTAACCTGGGTTATATGAGACCCTGTCTCCTCCAAAAAAAGTAAAATAATCTTTGGTTTTAGAATTACTACAGCACTCTCAAATATTTACTACAAACAAATTCTAACAATACAGAAAAATACTTTTTTTTTTAAAGAAAATGTCAAAAAGGTTTTGCCAGATAGTGGTAGCACAAACCTTTAATCCCAGTACTTGGAAGGCAGAGCCAGGAGGATCTCTGTGAGTTCAAGGCCAGCCTGGTCTACAGCGTGAGATCCAGGAAAGGCTCCAAAACTACACAGAGAAACCCTGTCTCAAAACAAAAACAAAAAAAAGTTTTACTTGAGTTGATTTATGACTTCTCTCCTTTCTTTCTCTCTCCCTCCCTCCCTCTGTTTCTTTCTTCCCTTCCTTTCTTTTGAAACTGTAGTATCGCCGAATGCCCCCAGACTCGGCCCCACGGAGCTGACGGTGGTTATCACCGTGCCTGTTTGCCTGCTCTCCATAGCTGCCATGCTGACAATATGGGCATGCCAGGACCGCCAGTGCACATACAGAAAGACCAAGAGACACAACGTGGAGGAACCTCTGGCAGAGTACAGCCTGGTAAACGCGGGAAAAACACTCAAAGATTTGATTTATGACGCCACTGCCTCCGGTTCAGGCTCTGGTATGTTTATGTTTTTAGTAAGCAAACACTTGTCTAAAAATCAGTGAACTATCTTTTTGCTCAAAGTGTCCAGTATGAACTCATCAGCTAAAGTGCTCAGTGAGGTACATAATGAATAAACTCATGAATAGAAATCTCTTTAAGGATTACATGCAAATCATCTACAGTAGCAGATTTTCATATAGTTTTTCAAAAGGCCTTTAGGATTAGCTGTACTTCCACACATTCTCTCCTTTACCCTGCTCCTCCCCCACTTTAATCTTGTTTTAGCTTCTCCTTTATCTCTTCATAAAACTACATTCCATTTCCCTGTCCTCTTTTCTTTTTAAAGAGAGACAGACAGACATGTGTGCGAGCATGCACGTACACACACACACACACACACACACACACACACACACACACACACACGCACACACAGGGGAGCATGGAGTTGGGTGGGGAGGAGTTGGGGAGGAGAAAGCATGATTAAGGTATATTGTATGAATAACTTTAAAAATCCTACTTAAAAAAAAAAGCATTGTCATGATAGAGTCTCCTCCGATGTCCACTGCAGCTTTCTGGGGTCTGATTTCTTTTTTATTCCTTGGGATTTGATTCTTTGTTTACTTCTCTTGGCTTTTGTGTCATCCTCCACCTCCTCCCATGGTTGGAGCTGTCACTGCTGCTTTCTCCAGATGTTTAATAGAAACAGAGGAGTTAGGGGTGTTGGGTTTAAGTCCATGAGATATAGGGAAATGTGTTAGTTAACAATACAGTGTTCCTTGTGGATATTTGTGGTCACTGAGGCCTCCTGGATCTGGAGGCAACCCCATCCCCAGATGTGCTTTCAAAGCTAGTAAGGAGCTGCCCTGGAATTAACTCAACATTATATTCCGGGAGCCAGGCAATGGGAATCTGAAGGAAGCTCACGGCATTCCTAGCTGGCTCCTGTGGCTCAAGGTTATCTAGTCACTGTTATCATAATGTATCAAAAACCAATACCTTTTCTTCTTTAATGAATTCAGACGACTGATGAAGAAGTTCCAAGGGCCAGACTGCATCATGGAATAAAAGAGCCTTTTTCATAGCACAAAACACTTCGGGGAGTAGGGGCAGAGCAGGATTTCCCTGCAGTTACAAGGACTCTTCTCTTCCCATCTGAACTTCTAGAGACTCTTTTCTCTTGGCTTTGCAAAAATATGACCAAGAGGACACCCAGACAAGCCACTTCAGAAGCTCCTACATCCCTTCTTGCTTTAGAGGGATCATTAGTGCCATTCATTATTCCAACCGGGGTTGGATGGTGTATTCTCAGTATTCTGTCTGTATTCTCAGTATTAGGGATGCTACAGTAGAAGCCTCCCACGTTAGAGACTAACCCTGGGCTATGTAGCAAAACCTTGCCTTGAAAAACATGAAAAGAAAGGAAACAAAACAAAACACATGGCTTTGAGGAACTCTCCCACTGGTGGGTGTGAGTAGCACCCAGGCAGACACAGTAACAGAGGCAGGTGGGGAAACAACATCACATTCGTATGGTCACCCATATCTAATAGGAAGCACTCTGGATACATCAGAAAGGACCACAATTTTGCTGACCAGAAAAGTCTAATGGTCCAGGCTGTCACTGTAACATCAAGTGAGATGTTTTTACAAAAGAAACCATGAAAGCAAAATCCCGAAATTACAAGCATTTAAAGTTGGAATTCAAATTATGTCACTGTGTAAAAGGCTTATTTTAAGAGCAATATTCTTCAGTATTTAAACTCAGCTTCTTGGGATATTATATGTTGAGATCTACTATATCCCAAAATTTTGAGTACTGCCAACATTCTAGGCACAAAGAACTCTGATTTATGCTTAATTTCTAGAAACACATTTCTTTATCATTCTCAAAGGACCGAACAACCTTCTACTTATTACCCACAGAAATGTTTTCATTCACTTGATGATATTAGGTCCTATCCTAGTTAGTCTTTATTGTCAACTTGACACAACCTAGAGTCATCTGAAGGGACAAGCCTCAGCTGAATGATTACCTGGGTCATGTTGGCCTGTGGGCATGTTTATAGGGGAATTGTCTTGATTGCTAAGTGATGGAGGAGGGCACATCCCACTGTAGGTGGTACCAGCCATGGGCAGATGGTCTTGGGCTGTACAAGAAAGCTAGACGAGAATAACACAGAGAGTTTTGCGGCAAGCAATGTTTCTCCACAGTTCCTGCCTTCAGCTTCCTGCCTTGATTTCCTGCCCTGACTTCCTTCAGTGCTGAACTGATCTGCAAGTGTAAGCCAAATAAATCCTTTCCTCCACCATGGTGCTTTTGGTCAGGTTGTTTATATATTATCCTACTCTAAGTCTACTGAATCTGACCAAGGGTTTCTCCTCCATGTAAAAAGAATACAAATTAATACACAGAAAACTAGATATTTAATTTAAGAAAGGAGTAATGAGCTGGCAAGATGGCTTACTGGGTAAAGGCCCTTGCCACCAAGACTGAAGACCTGAGTTCATTTCCAAGGACCCACATGATAGAAGGAGAGAGCCAACCCCTATAGCTTGTTCTTTGACTACACACTCCTTATGGTCTCCCCCACACACACACAAATAAAGAAATGCTATTACATTTTTTAATAAGCACCATGAGCTGAACATGAAAACCAAAATTTTGACATGTGGCACAGACCTAGATAGTATAGTTCTTATCCCGCATCAAGGAAGCAGATTTTTCAGCAGATGGAGACCATTACAGAGAGCTACAACTGTTCAAAACCCATAAATAACTGATGCCAGGGTGCTCAGCTCCAGGGCATACATCTCTAACACAACTCCTACACCTGAGGCTCAGGGAACATCACAGAAGATGAGGAGGAAAGACTGTGAGAGCCAGAGGACCAGGAAGTCTTCTATGAGATTGTGTCTCCTAGAAATGCCAGGGAAATTTCATATATGATACTTAACTACATGGCTGCCTGAACAAGATCTGAACAAGGACAACACCAATAAACATGCTAACGTGGAAGGGGAAATCTCATGGAGCCTCAAATCTCATGGGACCCCACACTTAGACAAACACCACATGGACTCATTGGGTTGTATTTATATATGTTATATGCATATATTTATATTATACATATAACAAAAAATTAAAGAAAAATTCATGTTAAATGTTTTTAAAAGTGTATCTTTGAGCATGAATACGAATCTGTTGGCTTCTGGATTCTTCCTTTTGAGATTGTACTAAGACATTTTGCCGAAGGAAGAAGAAAACCATGCCCAAGGCCAGATAATTTCTTTTTATTTTTGCTGTGAAGATTAAACTCAGGTCTCACACATCACAAGCTGGGAAAGTGTTCTTTCCCTGAGCTACATCCCTAGGCTTTGTATGCGTGTGGTCGGGGGAGGGGAAGTCACTAACTTGTCCAGGCTAGCCCTGCCTCAGCATCCCAAATAGTTGAGGACACAGGCCTGCATCACCAGGTTTTGCTCCTGAATACATCTTCTTAAGGACACATTCGACCAAGCTTTAGGCATTTCTGTCTCTGTAAAGCCAGCTTGTTTGGCGGTAACCCCTAGCTCAAAGCACATGCCTTTAATCATCAGAGAACAGGTTTACCTTCGGCAACGCTTCTGCCACAATAGCTCGCCCGTGGGGAGGACGTTGGACCAGCCTGCTTTCTTCCTGCCTTTCTCAATTGGCTGGTGACCTTGAATCTGAGGCAGCTTTGTCAGATACTGAAAAACCCTGATTACGAAGCTTAGCCCTGACCAGGTCAGGGACAAATTTCAAAGAGATGGAGAGCCTGCAAAGTGAAAATAAATGATGTTTTATTGGACCGAGCTTGAGAGTGGGCTCCGTCTCAGGCAGCTTTCACGGAAGTAGAAAGCCTGCTTCTTTGTCTTACGGTAGAATGTTCTGACAGATGGGGACACAAGCCAGACATCGGCTTCTATAATCCCTGGAGAAAAGATTAAAATGAACTCATGGCAAGAGTCAAAGTTTCTGTTCAAACGCAGCCTGAAGCTGTGGAGCACAAAAACTACTCAGATTCACTTTGTTCTTTGCTTTGGAAGGTACTGAGTCAGCTGAAGCAGTATCTCCCCCGGCTCACCCCACTGGTCCCCTTACATGATGTGATGTCCTTTGTCTGCCAATTGGGTGTTGCATTAACTGCAGTGTGAAAACACCGTCTTACTGGTTTCTTTCTTTCTTTTTTTTTTTTTTTTTGTCAGTGATGATGTGGGGAGGGCGACACTGAGATTTGACTTAATAATTGTTCGTATCACTTTGGGCCAAAAACTGGCGGGAGCCTAGAAAGATAACCATGGCTATTTGTTGTCAGATGCCTTCCTTCCCACAGAAAGGAATACAGGTCTGTCCTCAGATGGGGGACAAAGCATTCTGGGTCAGCCTTCGGCAGCAGCAGACTCTCTTCAGGTCCAATGTTCTCATCGATAAATGATGAGGTTGAACCAGATGGTTCCAAAAGAACTTTCGGACTGTGGGGCTTGGTGACTAATTGTTGAGGCTCATACCAGTGAATTTATAGTCTGTGCCTATTTACCATTGTGGGTGGTTCTCCTGGAGATGAGAACATCTGTGTAAACACTGGCTCATTCTTGGATTAGGGGACAATGCCCCCAAGAAGCCACATGGCATTACTTTCTCTAGCCACCTGAGGACAGTGACAATAACCCAGTTGGCATTCTAGAATACACTCATCTTGTAGCCTTTTAAACTATTTGCTTTCTAACAATACAATTATAGGAATAATAAAACCTTCTTATGGACCTTATGTTGAAAATACAGCAAATGAGAAGGAAGAATATTATAACTCACTCTGATTCCACCAAATGGTTCAGTCTTCTGTCTATGCAGTTTGAAAAACTACACACTCATAAAGATAAAATTTACTATACTGTTCTCATTTAACATTGTAGCAGAGCAGATTCCAGTGTCATTGAAATGCACTTTATTGGCAGCAGCATCAGTGTTAATCTTAGATGATCCATGCTGATGTTTCTGTAAGATTGAGGGTAACCATTATTGATCAGGCATTATGCCCGGTACAGTGCTAACTGCTTAACCTCCTTATTAACTCTCAGACTGTCCCATTTCCCAGAGAATGGTGCTAAAGCTCATGGAACTTAAGTAACCTGACCATGGTGACTAGATGTCGTAGCTGAAATTGGAACCTAGGTCTTTACTTATCTGTGCTTGTGTATCTGCACCATATTTCACAAATGTCTTCTTATTTGAAAGCTTTCCTTTTTGTTTAATATTGATAACAATGATGTATTCGATATTTTTACATGGACTCTCTACATTTTGAGTTAATTCTATAGGATAGAATTTTAGAAGTAGCGTCACTATTTTAAAAATGACAACCAGTCTGGGCATGGCGGTAGGCATCTTTAGTCCCAGCACTTGGGAGGCAAAGGCCGACAGGTCTTTATGAATATGAAGCCAGCTTGGTCCATATAGTGAGGTCCAGGGAAGCCAGGGATACATAGTAAGACCCTGTCTCAAAACAACTACAACAAAAAATTATGAGCATTATATATATCCACAGAACAGGTTTTCCTTGAATTTATTTATTTCACAGATAACATATTCTTACTGTAACATGCTTATCTCACTCAGTAACTGAATTTGATTCCTTACATGCACATTTTAATTTTGTTTTGAAAAAAAAATCCACAAAAAATTCTTTTCCTTTCACAGTAGTACAGGAGCTATGAATTTTATTTTAAGTGTTAGCCATGCATGTTTTTCCTTTGAGTCCTTAGTAATTGGACTGGCTTTATGGGAAATTCAAGGGATTTGCCACAATTCTTAGAAAGCAGATATCTGCAGCAGCATGCTGTGTTCAAAAAACTTTGTTTGTAAATAAGAGAAGAGAAATTAATAATTTAGGACATTTTATATGTCATGCCTTGTCATTAAAGTTTGTTGTATTGATGCTTATTTCATCAACTTGAATACAATTACTAACGTGCTTAGGTGTTTGCTTTTTATGTAATAGCTGCCATCACTGTGACTTTTGTTTGGAATGACTGGTCTGCCTCTCCTCTGACTAGGTCTGCCTCTTTTGGTGCAAAGAACAATTGCAAGAACTATTGTACTTCAAGAAATAGTAGGAAAAGGTCGATTTGGGGAAGTGTGGCATGGAAGATGGTGTGGGGAAGATGTGGCTGTGAAAATATTCTCCTCCAGAGATGAAAGATCTTGGTTTCGGGAGGCAGAAATTTATCAGACAGTGATGTTGAGACACGAGAACATCCTTGGCTTCATTGCAGCTGACAACAAAGGTAAGGTCGCTCTCACCACGGTCAGCAAGAAAAATGTCAGATTGCATGTGAGATAGAGGGGAGCCATCACATTGACGCCAGAAAGCACACACAAGTCTATCTTCTTTATCAAGAAAATTCTCTTCTCTTTTCCAACAAGTAAATGCCCGTAACCAAGCAGTGAAGTGCAGCAGCAAATGGTCAGTGAGAAGTCGTGATAATGCAGTGAAACCTGTGTTTCAAAATATTAGATAACTGGTACTGGTCAGGGACCAGCCATCTGCAACTGGAGTCGGTCCTCAGGTCCTCAAGCCTCCTGGCCTAGTTATCCCGTCTTCAGTCTCCCTGGGTCATGCAAACACCTAGAGGCATCTTGGACTGTGGAGGGCATTTGGGTGTGCTGCAGTGGGACGCTATTAGAATTTCGAGAGGCTGCTGTTTACCAGCTGGGATGGAATCTGTATCACAGGCGTTGTGTGTACAGTTTTCAGCATACGTCCCCTCCAGACTGAGAGAACGGGGCAGGAGATTGGTAGCGGAGTTTTCTTTCATTGTCAACTTGACAGAATTTCAAGTTTAACTCTGACAGATAAGTAGTTGTGGGCTGTTTTAGTGTCCTGGAACAAAACAGATCATCTATCTGGTATTTAAGGTCAGTACTCTTAAAATACTGCACATGTGTTGGGTGTTGAGGAAGGGATGCAGTTAGTGGATTATCTTCTTCTCTTTCCTCTTCCTACAATGCTTTGGCCCATTTGTTGTACAACAAAAGGGAAATGCAGACAGGAGTGAGAAAACTCAGTCCAGTCAGGTTGGAAATTAGAACTTTAATCAGTATCTATGAAGAACTTCGATGAAGCCACAGTTACAATCTCATCAAAAAGCACACACAAAAAAAGGTTAAACTAAATATCTATGAATTTTACACATCTACTATTGCCTGGGAAATTTAAAAAAAATTAGTTTTGTCTAATAGTAACATTATCATGATTTTATTTATTATTAATTAGATGACAAAAGAGAGGCTTAGCATTTGTTGACCACAATTATGCTTCTTAGTTATGATTTGTAAGGAAAGAGAGTAAATTTGAGATGATAATATTAATACAAATATTACTACTACTACTACTACTGCTGCTAATGATAATAGTAATGATAGTACTGCTGCTACCACTACTAATTATTATTATTATTATTTCATGTGTTTGGGTAGTTTCCTGCATGTATGTCTGTGTCTAGTGCCCAGCAAGGCTGCAAGAGGTTGTTGGCTCCCCTAGAACTGGAGGTACAGATTATTGGGAGCCACCATGTGGATGCTGGGTATTGAACCCAGTTCCTCTGGAAGAGCAGCCAGTACTCTTAACTGCTAAGCCATCTCTCCAGCCCCTTTTTCCAAGTTCTTAAGGACATATGCTTTAACACCATATCCAGAGTTTTGAAAAAACAGACACTGTTCCAAGGTTCAGAGCCACTTCCCTCTGCTAATCTTGAGCTGTGTTATTTCCTGGTCAGGTTAACCAGCAGTGGTATCAGCACAGTGGTGACCAGCCACATAACTCATCTTGAAGAACTATTTTAATCACAGTGCTTACTGGCTTACATACAAATCTGTCAATCTGTCACAAAGAGGTCATCTTTCATCTTTGTTTCCTTTTGTTTTTATGTTATTTTATTTTATTATGTGCGTTGGTGTTTTGTCTGCATGCATGTCTGTGTGAGTGTGTTGGATTACCTGGAGCTGGAGTTACAGATATGAGCTGCACTGTGGGTGCTGGGAATTGAACCTGGGTCCTCTGGAAGAGCATCCAGAGCTCTTAATGGCTGAGCCATCTCTCCAGCTCCTGTTTCCTTCTGCTTAACTGGCTTTTCTCAGTCATGTCCTTCCTTGTCAGCCACTTTGTACGAATACCAAATGGTCTCTAACATCACATTCATCTTCACAAATTCTTTATTCATGTAACATTTACAGTTTACATTGCAGTGGACTGTCTCACAACAAGGACCTTGTGAGAGAGCACAGCCAGGTGCAGGCGTCAGCAGGGAGAGTCTGAGGGTGAGGTTAGTGTGGGGTGGATCATTAGCGAACTTTATACTATCCTGCCTTTTGTACGGCATGAAGCTTTCTTCCTGCCTGGTTGTGGAAATGAAATCGCTGGAGAACACACAGCTGCTGAACACACAGACCTGCCAGGAACACATCTCAGCAAAACGCTCACTGCCGAGTCCATCTGAGTCCCAGAACTGGCCAGGGCTGCCTATGCTGCCGGAGACACTTGGTATAGAAAGCTACAACTAATTGTTGAAGTGCTGCTACATAGAGAAACTTCAGGCTAATTTCTCACCTGTTAAAAGTCTTCATAAAATGCTAGGTTTTTGTTTAAATGGGTGTGTTATCTGAGACTATCCAGCCATCATATCATAGAAGCTAGCTCTTTTTAAAACTGTTTGGAGCATTCATTTCCTATTTTTAAAGGCAAACATCATGGGCATTGTTAGCACATCAGCACTCCTGTGGTAGAAATAGTAGTTTGTGTAAATTTGTTATATTTATTGTCTTTATTAGTTTAATCTTTCTGAAAAGCTTAAGAGTGATGGGCAAGGCTGAGGCCAAATGTGCCTCTCAGAAGTTGCTCCCACAGTTCACCTTTCCAAAGTTTCCCATATACTGTGATAGCTCCCACCAACAACTATTGATGAGGGCAAGCAGGCAAAGAATTGCTCATTTGTTAGAACCACCTTCCATGACTTTGTGTTTTCATGGAAGCTTCCCCCATATCCACACCTTCAATAACTCTTTGCGAACTTTTACTTCTCCAGCTTCAGCTTTCTTGTTGAAAGAATTAACTTTGTTTCATAAATGGCACAGATGAACTTTAAATACTGTTGTTGTTAAAAGTGCTTGCTGGCTTTCTCAACATTTACAACAAGTGACGTTTTCTCATTAGATAATGGAACTTGGACTCAACTTTGGCTTGTATCAGAGTATCATGAACAGGGCTCCTTATATGACTATCTGAATAGAAACATAGTAACCGTGGCTGGGATGATCAAGCTGGCACTTTCCATAGCCAGTGGTCTGGCTCACCTACATATGGAGATTGTTGGTACTCAAGGTACGTATTTCCTTCCAGAAAGCTGGCCCTTGGATTGACTTTGTTTTAGTTCTTTACAGTCACCAAACACAGAGAAACAATGGAGGTACTTCATAAAAGTGAGATTCTTGTCATGCTGCAAACAAGTTTCTCATACTCAGTGCCACACGTTATTCATGATGTAGTTTTATCCCTGGTGGCTCCATCCATGCCATTAGTCCGTACACCAAAAGGTGTTCTTTTGCCGGCAAAGGCTATATATTCACATTCTGAAGATATAAATGCTTGCTTTTGATTATTAAAATATGGCTGGGAAAGATAACATGACCATGAAAGAATATTTGAGGGTGGGTGGGGGTAGCTGAGGCGGAAGGATTTCCGTGAGTTTGATGCCATCCTGGGTTACATGTGAATTCCATACTAGGCTGGAACTGTCTCAAAAAGATTAAAAAAAAAAGAGAATATTTGAATATCCTACTTGAAAGTCAAATAATATCCTCTGCTTTGCCAGTTTACTGAGCCTATAGGAAACTGACTCTCAAAAGTCATTAGTCCAAACAGGTCACCCAGTTCATGACCCCTTCATACTCTTAGAAATTATTGAGCTCCCCAAAGTTCTGGTAACTGTAGGTTATATTTATTAATCCATTCCATATTAAAAACTTTTCATTGAGAAATTAAAAAATTGTTTATTTCAAGAACTGTAATTATCCAATTGAATATTAATGTAAATAACAGCTTCCAAATGTTTTACAACTTTTTTTTTTCTAATGCAATGTAGTGGAAATAGTGGTTTAGTTTTACATTTTTAAAAATAGTTTTAATATCTAGCTATTTCACACATGCTCTTTATCCCATTTGTCCCAGTATATGGTTTTGGTTGAAGTAATTGGAGAAATGATGACATGAACCAGATAGGTATATATGTAGTAATTTTAAGGACCCTTGTGGGTCTTTTGTTCTTATTTGAGAATTGCTAGAGTAGTAAAATTTCGAGATGTGTTTTATTAGAAAACATTTGCCCTCTTGTGGAACACACATAATAGTAACCTGAACTCATTTATTGAAAACCTCCTTGTTAGTGACCACAACTGTCACATGGTGCTCTGTGCATTGGAACTGCTTGAGTATAAAGCAAGAGACTACCCTCACTTAGCTTGGAGTTTAGCCAGAAGACTACATGTCTCTCTGAAGCAAACTGCTGCTCTTCTGGACTTGGGGTGCAGTCAGGGAAGATGTGTCTGAGGGGAAGACATTTGAGCTAAGTCTTCTAAGTGACTGGATTCAGAAGACTCCGTCTTCAGTAGGGGACAATATGAATACACTTTTCTTATGTTTTGTAGGTAAGCCTGCTATCGCTCATCGAGATATAAAGTCAAAGAATATCTTAGTGAAAAAATGTGACACTTGTGCCATAGCTGACTTAGGGCTGGCTGTGAAACATGATTCAATCATGAACACTATAGACATACCCCAGAATCCCAAAGTGGGAACGAAGAGGTAAGATGACTTTTGCTGGTAGCTTCCTAGAGTTTATATGATTGATCAAACACCATGAGTGCCTATGGTGTGTATCCAGATGTGAAGAACTTTAGGCCTAAAAAAAAAAAAAGAAATCTTTGTGGAGACATTGAGAAGCCATAATGACTACAAAGTGGGGGAGCTGACTTTTTTGTTCTGGTGAAGTAGCCATTGAGTGCAGAGTCTAGTCCAGGGTTGTGGTGGAAGAGAAGATGGCATGCCATGTTTATGTGACACAGTTTCTGGATGTCTCTCCTGCAGAAAAGAAACCACCTCAGTTGTATATAGGAACTGAAGGGACTCTAGCCAGCTTGAGCATGGCAAACATGGCTCTGGCAGGCCTTGAATTCCTTCCCCATTCTCTGGCCTTGCTACAAACTATTAGATTACATTCCTAAAGCCAGCCACCAAGCTCTATCCCCTTATTTGGCTACTTCCTCCTCCGGAAGCTGACTACCATGATCCAGCTATCAAAGTATTGAGGTCCAGCAATCAAAAGCCTCCTTTGGCTCACCCAATAAACACACCCAATTAAAATTAAACACCTCATCCTAACACGCGGTTTCCCCTTTACTTTTATAAGACATCATTTTCCTATTACCCACATCTGTCTCCTCTCTATCCAGAGGCAGTCCGTTGTCCTCCAGGACAAATAACCCCTGCCCTCTCCCTTGTTCCCTTCCACTTCTCCCTCATCCTCTATTTTCTATCTTTGTCTCTTATTCCCTGCCCATAATGGCCAAATTCCCATAACATCAATCTCCTTTGTGCTGAGAACTTGGCCTTGGGAGTCCTGAGCTGATACTCAGCCTTTTAGGAACTCCAGCACTTTTATGGCTCATCAGTGAGCTACAAGTCAGGTCTTGATGTATAGGCTCAGGTTTTAAAGAACACATGGAAAATCAATGTATTTGAGGAGATAGGTTAGGGACACTATATAATAAAACCACGTGTGTGATTGTCTATTCCCTTAACACACAAAGATATAGTGTATCAATTTATATCTTACCCATAGCTGAACTTATCCTTGGTTTCCCAGAATGATGCACTTGAGATAATATGCATTTGAACACAATTTTCACTTTCAAGGAACAGAAGATAATAAAGCTAGGAGAAAGCATGGAGTGATAAGGAGCACACTCCACAGAGCTGTGGCCACGACAGGCTCATCATCAGTCAGGAACTCCTGGTGTGTTCATTGTTTTGACCAGCAGGTGGCTCCTTAGCTAGCCTTCTCTCTCTCCTTTACCTGAGTTCCATGCTTCATGCTGCTTTTTCATAATTCCAGGGCTCTTAAGCTTGAAGTCACAACAATCAATATATTTTCCTGAACTTGTTACTTGTTTCTTGAGAATAGAGAAATTCTAAGGAGAATAGAGAATTTCTAAGGAGGTAGAGCTGGCCTCTAAGCCAGCTGAGATTTCAGAACAGTGCCTGCAAGCCATTGGCTGTCTGCTGGTAGACATGATTGAGGTCACAGAGACATTCCAGGGAAGCATGTACAGAATGAGCAGTCTTAATGGACCCCTCATCTTTTCTCACTAAGGACACCCACCTGACTGTTTCTGCATCAGGGGCCCTCAGGCAGGACTTGGGTGCTGGTTTCCTTTCGGGGAGTCCAACACTTTGAAAAAGAACTCCAGAGTATATATTCTGGGAAAATGCCCAACTCTGTATGGGCCAGTTGGGCTCAGTCAGGCCCTGTGACTCCAGGACTTCTACCCTTAAGCTTTGTTCAAACAAGGCTATACTATTCTTGGCACAGTGTATAGTAGAATTCTTCATTCTGAGAAGGTATTTGTGGAAGAGCATCTAGCCTTCCTTGTGTTGGAGACTGAGCTCCCTGTGGTGAGTGAAGCTCACTGCTTGTCAGACAGGAACTTTCTGTGATGACAGTTTCTTAGGATGCTGAGCTCCATCTCTGTTCTTGAATGCTTTGCTCACTGACCTTCCCAGTTTATTCTTTCCAAGTACTAGGCTACTGGTGGTCTTTCTACAATGTAAAACCGTGTGGTGTGACCTTTAATTTCATTTAAAATGTTTAAGAATGATGGTTGAGTCAGTAACTGTGTTTTTTAATTTCACCCTATTATGGTATCTGAGCTGTACCTTTGAAATTGATATGAGCAATCTTAATTTATGTTTTGTATCACGATGCATTAAAATTGTGGTTTACTGGACCGAATCTCAATGTGCACATTTTTGAAGGTATATGGCTCCTGAAATGCTTGATGATACAATGAATGTGAGCATCTTTGAGTCCTTCAAGCGAGCTGACATCTATTCTGTGGGGCTGGTTTACTGGGAAATAGCTCGAAGGTGTTCGATTGGAGGTAAGATTTTGGAGATATTCTTTTGTTACCCTTCCCTTGACACCGAGTACAAGATGTGATTTTCTGTATTTTCCCATTAGTACACTGGATTGTTTCTTAATAGTTAAGAGAATTCCTTTCAGTAATTTTTTTTTTTCAGGACAGAAGTGAAGCGTCCTGTGGAGAGTGTGTGTGGGGGTATCTTTTGAATTTTACTTAGATGTGGGTGACAGTTCTGATCATTCTGATGCCTGTAATGATTCTTTTGAGTCCCTCGAAAATGATCTGATTGGAGTTTGCAAGCAGCTGCTATTCCCTACTCTTATCCCGAAGAAGCTAAGTGACAGGCCAAGGCAGCAGGCCTGGCAGCCTTCCGCTGCTCAGGCTTTTCCTCTTTTCTCTCCTGTGACGTAAATACAACACAGGGATGGATAAAATGGAGTGGGGAAGTGAGTGATAGCTCACCTCTTGCCCTCTACTGCTCCCTGCAGCTTAGAAATTGGTAAGGGAACCCCTGCTAATGCAGTCTAATGAAATTGTTGCATCAGTGCAGAAAAAGTTAAATGCTCATATAAAGCAGTTTACCGAGTATTCTCTTGTGAGACACACTTAGGATGAAGCCTTTCTTGGTTTAGCAGTTGTGTGTGTGTATGTGTGTGTGTGTGTGTGTGTGTGTGCCTCCATATGCCATGGTAATGAGCTCATGTGGAGGTTAGAGGACAGCTTCTGAGATTGGATTTTCTCCTCCCACCCTGTGGGATCTGGAGATTGGATCACTTTGCCAGGCTTGGAAGCAGTACCTCATGGGCTGAGCCAGCAACCTAAAAACCCAAAATGCTGTTTTGATAGATAAATATACTTTATTTACAGTGCACTGATGTTATGCTATAAATATGGCAATTAGGGTTATTTTTGAACCATGAAATGATAATATATGAAAATAAAAGTCACAACATTTTATTGGAGACATATTTACTTTATTGTGTATTGTTATAAAATTATATACATTAATGTAGGATTTTAGGTATTACATATAATAACTACATTCATTTTACATTTTATAAAATTTGTTTTATAGTATAAAATGTCATAACTTTACATAAATATTTAATTGAGTAATTTGAACTGAATCCTGCTTTACAGTGATATATTACTTTAACAAAAGTGAGATTCTACTTTTCCAGGATATGACGTGTGCCTTGAAGAACTAAGTGTACTAATTTGAAATACACATCACTATGGATTCTATATGTAGGAAAATTTATTTTGTAAATTTCTTGTAGGAATTGTTGAGGAGTACCAGTTGCCTTATTATGACATGGTGCCTTCGGATCCTTCAATAGAAGACATGAGGAAGGTTGTTTGTGACCAGAAGTTCCGACCAAATATCCCAAACCAGTGGCAAAGCTGTGAAGTAAGGCTATTATGTCCCCCTCCTGCGTCCTCTTCCTCCTCTCTCCTCTTCTTCCCCCTCCACCTCCCTCTTCCTCCCTTCCTCTTGTTCATCCACCGGAGGTCAACACAAGCTATGTTCTTATGTATGTTTTTCCATTTTACTCTTCAGATTAGTATCAGTGAGGATTTGCAGAGAATATGCTGTTCTTTCTTAACCTAGTTGCGTAATTTATTCCATATATGGAGGGATGCCTTCTTTTAAATGTCTTTAGAGGGATTTTCTTCTAGCCATATTTATTTTAGCAGTATGTGTCCGTGGCATGAACCCCTGAAGCCCTGGTGGCTTCTGTCAACAGGGCATTAGTGCTTCTCTGAAGTCCTCTGTAGCTTAAGTGATACAGTCTGGGACATATGTCTTCACCGAGGTGGCTCAATAGTCATCCTCACTGCCCCTTGGTGTTGCCATCCCCATGCAGTTTCCTGGTCTCTGTATCCGGCAAACAGAGGAAACAGGGCTGCACACACTGGCTTTTCAGTGTTTGGCACAAGGGATACACAGTTTCCACTCATGCCTCATAGAACCAGTCACATCATCCCACCACACTGCAAGGGGCTGGGAACTGAGGGACATGGGCCAAACCAATGGCTAGTGAATATTGTAATCGGTAACTTATGCCTAATCTCTAGCTGCCTGAAGCTTAACCCTTCTCATCAGAAAAGCCCCTCACCTTAGATCCCGTTGTTATTTGTCTTGTCATCATAAGCAATGCAGGACTGTGGCCAAAACATGGTGGACACACAGTCCTCAGTCCTCATTTTGCCTCCCGTAAGCTCTGACAGAGGGAGAAAAGGCAGCGTTCTCCCCCTATGATGTGCTCCAACCTCCCCTTCCAACCACTGCTGTTTACTTTCTGCTTTCTTTGAATATAAAAAATAAGGTCATTTTGTGTGACACTGCTGCTGTTTATTTCGTTGTTACAGGATCATTTTATGCAGTTACCTTTTTACCCTATTCGTTTCCTTCCATGATTTTAGCTCTTTTGTTTAAGGCAAGTCTTAGTATTTTGTCTTTTGTGTAGTTATTTCAACTCTGCTTACTTGAGAAGCAGGCTTTGAGCTTTGTATAATGTAAGTGAAAGAATTAATTTTTCTAATATTATTTTTTTTTCAAGATAGGGTTTCTCTGTGTAGGCTTGGCTCTCCTGGAACTCACTCTGCAGACCAGGCTGGCCTCAAACTCATAAAGATCCACTTGCCTCTGCCTCCTGAGTGCTGGGGTTAAGGGTGTGTACCCCCACACCCGGCTACTATTAGTTTTAAGTATATGGGGATATAAACTATTAAAGTTTAAACTATAATAGTTAGATGAAAACTCGTGAATACACAGTTTGGAAAGCAAAACATTCCAAAATCTTTGAGGAATTTACTGCCTTGCTGAGTGGCTAATATTAATATTAATAATTTCTTATTATTCTCTGATCTTATTTATTTTGCCATATGTGTGTATATCTTGAAAAATATTTGCATTTATGTACTTATGAAAATTATGAGTAAAGCTTATTACAAATATTCTTTTTAATTTTTTTACCATATGTGTGTACATAAGAGAAATCTGTCCATTTTCATTGCTGTGTAACATCTTTCCTTGTGGATATAATAGGATTTCTTTGTCTATTCTAGTATTTTTTATCATATGAGATTTTTAGTTAGCATTATTAAAAGTGCTGTTGCTATATGTATTAGTGAATTTTATGGTTGCTGTGACAGAATCCATGAAAAAAGAACTTAAAGAGGAACAGTTAGTTGTAGCTCATGTTTGAAGGAAAAGGCATGGCAGCAGGAACATGGGGCAACTGGTCATAGGGTGTCTTAGTTACTTTCCTATTGCTATGAAGAGACATCATGACCAAGGCAGCATAAAAAAGAAAGCATTTAATTGGGGTCTCATGGTGCCAGAGGATTAGAGTCCCTGACCATCATGGTGGGATATGTGGCAACAGGCTGGAGCAGTAGCTGAGAGCTGACATCTGATCCATCAGATCGCATAGAACCAGAGTTCGGATCTCAGCTACCATATAGTGGCTCACAACTGTCTGTAATGCCAGCTCAAGAGGATTTGATGTTTTCTTCTGGTACACACACACTTAAAAAATCTAAAAAGAGAATTATTCATCACAGTATGTAAATACATATGTTAAAAAAGTTTGGAAGGTATACAGCTCTTTATTCTTTTGTGGTGTCCACTTAGACAGGCACGGCTATCTGCTTATTCTTTCTTACTATGGTCCTGGGATCTCTGGTATTAAGTTACCTGCAAGTGGTGGTGAGCAACCTTTTCTCCTTAAAACTTCTTTTTTTTTTCTCACTCTTGGATGTGATAACTGCTCCATACAATTTTTTTAGGTTAAATAAAAATGGACTCTGATTTTAATAAATATTTGCCTCTTAATGCTTTTTCTACTGACTTTAAATTTATTTTATATTTATGTGAGTGAATATTTGTCCTGCATGTATGTATGCATATCATGTGCATAGCTGGTGGCTAGGGAAGTCAGAAGAGGTCTTTGTATTCTTGGAACTGGAGTCATCGATGGTCACCACATGGGCACTTGGAATTAAACCCAGGTCCTGTGCAAGAGAAACAAATGCACTTAACGGCTGTGGCTTCTCTCCAGCCCCTCTAATTGGTTTTAAGGACTTCTGTCTTTTGTGCTCTGCAGTTTCTCTGTTTCATATGGCCAGCCTTTTTGTCCATAGGTACTATAGGAATTTTGAAGGAAGCTCTCACTATGTAGCCCGAACTTGTAGGAATCCTCCTGCCTCAGCATCTCAGTACTGGCATCACACAGCATGCCACCATTACACTCAGCTTTGAGGTTAAACTTGTTTGGAACCAAGACTGTTTTAATTCTAAGGATTTGTGACATTTCTCTCTTCTAGAAAGTTCTGTAATAATATGTCTTCAGATAATTCTTCTCTCTTGTCTCCATTTCTATTTTTGGAAAACTCATTGGCTGCTTTTAAACCTTCCAGATTCTACTTTGCTTCATGGATATTCCCTACGTTGGCACCTGTATTCTTGATCCCCTAGGTTTCTTTCCACTTCTTTACTTCTGCCTCAGTTATGTCTAATCTGCCATTTACCTTAGCCACTGGATTCTTTATTTTCATACCAAGAACTTTCACTAGTTCTGAAAGTATTGTTTTTTCCCCTACAAGTTGTTCAAGTTTTATTTCTCTTTTTTCTCCTTTTTTTATTAAGAGATTTTCCATTTCTCTTTTAATGCACGTTTCTTATCACTGATGTTTTATGGATCTAATCCTGCTAGTTAGTCTTTTGATTAGTTCCTACTTATTGGTACCCCTCCCCATCTCTGAGTGCAGAATTTTATTATGAGTTAAGGTTTACTGAGAAACTAGGGCAGATTTTATTTTTCTCTTCACCCAAAATTAAAGTAAGTGTTTGTCTTACAAACTCAGTTTTTGGGGAAGATTCATCAACATACATTTTTTATTATCTTTATTTTCTTGTATGTAAGTGGGAATGCATGTGTGTACCAGGGCACATGCTGCAGGCCAAAGGACAACCTGCAGGAGTCAGTTTTCTCTTTCCACCATGTGGGTCCCAAGATCAAACTCAGGTTGCCAGGCTCAGTTGCAAATGACTTTACCTGCTGGACAATCTTAACAGCTCAAGATTCATATTTACATTCAGGTCCTTTTTTTGGCATCTTTAAATCTTGTCTTTACTTTAGGCTGATTTTTCTGTCTTTCACACATGGTCCTCATCTCTGATTTTCTAGAACAGAAGATGAGCACATGCCATTTGGAGCTCCCCCAGCTTCAGTGACTCCCTGGGTCTCTTCATGTCTCACGCTTTTACATTGATTGTTCCTCTAAAAACTGTCTTAGTTAAGGTTTCTATTGCTGTGAAAAGACATCATGACCTGGGCAATTCTTTTTTTTTTTTTTTTTTTTTTTTTGGTTTTT